AAAGCATTTAGATGTTCGTAAGGTGATCAGACTCTGCTGCACAAAGGAGAGAACTGATACCGGAAACACAGGCAACCAGCGCTTTTGTTTTGCAAGCAAATCTTGATGCCGTACGCACGCCGTATCCCTGTCCTGTCCGTGGGACAGGGCGCTTACCTAACAGAGATCGCAGGATACAGACATGGCACACCTGCAACACATGCGCTTAACAGCTATCTGCACCTGCACAGATTGGCATGAACGATTTGCTACACCTGCTTGCAAGTTTCATACAAGTTTCTGATGCAAGGATAACTCAGTGGCGACTGTATAAATGCTGTGACGTGCACGCTGAACATGGATTTCGATACGCACTGCAAAGCATTCTTTAGGCGCCAAAAGTGGTCTCTCCATGTTTGACCCTAGCTGTTCGGCCTTTACTCATTACCAGTACCGTAGGACGGGAGGACAGTAGCTGTTGTCCTTGCTAGGAAGCAAGCTGATATAATGGGTCACGCTGCTTAGGACGGCAAAGGGCATTCCATCCCGGACAGGGCCGGTGAACACAAGGTCCAAGCTCTGCTGGACCGCAAAAGGGCGACAGCGCCGAACCGGAGGCCGTTTAGGACCGAAGGAAGGCAACAAGCACGTCCGTAGCAACCTGTCGTAGCAACACATCCGATCAAGGGAGGACGGGCGGCCTCAACCAAACGCATGAGCTCTTCGCAACTTACAATCGGCCACGGGCTTCCAAACGTCGGAGCCTAAGGCTGGCACCTGGGAAAAGCTCCTACTTTGCCCATGGCTTGCCTTTGACCTCTGAAGTACTGAACGGAACGCCAGCACGCCCTCTGTCTGTTACCTCTTTTGCCAGGGGTTTCACAACGCACGCTACATGTTCAGCACTCCACGCATGCTTAGCTTCAGGCTATCCATTAAACCGTGGTGAAAGGAACAAAGACGAACTTCTTGTGACCAGCAGTTTTATGCATAAAATCGCGGGGCAGTATCAGATAGACAAGGGACAGCGGGTAGCCTATTTGTGTGTGTCGTCCTGCCTCTCTGGNGGAGTACTGGAACCATGGCACTGGCATACGGTATTCGGTTCTTAAGTTACGGGAGCAGGTGGTCAAACCATTGGCGATGCTGCATGCTCTGGCCTTGCGGAT